GGTGGAACAAGCCGAGGAGCCCTACGAGGGGGCAGGAGGAGGTGAAGGGCAGCGCATGGTGCTCCTGGGGTGACCAGGGCTCCGCGGCCCTCTTCTGATGGCTGCTCTCCCAGCCCTGCCCATCTTTCTCCGCTCTCACCTTGAATTAGTGAATCATCTCAACATTTATTTTACTCCCGGTATCACCGGTGACAGAAAACATGTATTTCTATGCTCAAATCCCTGTAATGAAGTCACACAATCCTGAGTTTTTCTAAATAAGAACCGGTGGAAGCATGTACTTACCCATTTTCCGAAGTCAGGGTCATTTACTCCTGATTTCTGTCACTTCCCTCACATAACCAGAAATCCAGGTGCATTTTCGGTGCACTTTAAGTGATTTAGGAACTTACTCCAATATGAAATGTGCCCTGCCGTCCAGACTTGCACTGTAACTTTGTTCCTAAGTGTCTTAAGCTGCATTTGAATGTGTGCCCAGGGTGCTTTTATGAAAAATTGGATCTCAGGAGCAAAATCTACCATCATCTTGTCACCAGCTGGGCTTGAAGAGCTTGAACCTGGACTGAGGAATTAGATCCCGATCCAGGAGGAGAATTAAGTCTATCTGTACTTTGCTGGGCCAGGGTAGAAGCACTCAATGTGTTGTAAGCATGTATAAGCAGAGGTTTTTCTTAGAGAGATTAAATTATCAGGAAGTAGGAACAGAGAAGGGGTGGAATATTATGAATTCTCCAAATTATTCTGTTGGCATCTACTTTAAGGAAGAGGTAGAAAGCAAAGCAACGCCTAGTAATCTACCCAGTTAACAGTATCAAATGTGTGCTTGGAACCTCTGCTCAGGGAAAGGACACAATCCCTGCTTTGAGGAGAAGAAACCATCTGTCAAAACATTCTGTTTTCCAGCAGTAGAGATGCCACAGCCAATAAATGCTCCCTAAATCTTATCTTTTCCTGTCTCATACAGATTTAGTCCCATATGGGACATACAGCTAAAAGCAGCACCATGTCTTTCATTCCTGCACTCGGTTCTCCTGGGTTCTCATCAGTACAGCCTCAGAGACCAGGAGCGGAAAGTCTTTCTCTACAGTCAGGATGAAACCTAAATTGCATCTCTAAGCCAAAAACAAGATTACTTCAGCTTTTCAAGGTTTCTTTTCTTTTATATATGATTTTCTTATACATAACTTTTTTTTTTCAAATGGGCAACTTATGTTCTAACATTGGTAGTGGTAGGCAGAGTTCTGTAAGGCCACAACTGTTTTGCTTGCCTAAGAGACATTTTTTTGGTAAAAACTAAGGTATTTCTGATTTATGGCCTAGCCACTGCCACCGTGGATATTCAGAATCTCTCTTTGCCAATCATTTGCAAAACAGAGCTAAAGGAGATGTGACATTCTCACTTGAATTTTCTCACTGGAGTTCATCGGTATCTCCTTAAAAGGAATGCTGCAAAAAATGTTGCCTTTGAAGCCATTTTAGTTTATCAGGCAGCGGGATGGGAGAAATGTGCATCCAAGACTCTCACACAGCAGAGGGAGTTGCAATCCCCAAAGGAATAGGAGGCCAGACCTTTTATACAGTTGTTTTAAAAATTATTTCTTTCCCTTTAGATCAGCAGGGAAAGAATGTCAACCTAAACTCTTGGGGGAAGCTGAATCCTTCATGTACCTCTTTTTTTTTATTATAGAGTTCAATGAAGGAGTTGAGCAAAGTGCAGTGATTAAGCCTGATGCCGATGGCTGAATCAGGATGGTCTGTGGGCACTGTGTTAATGCTAAAAATCCAGGGAAAGCAGTTCGCTATTTGTAGTATTTCTTAATGCCCCAGACAGCAGTCTCCTTCTCACTTCCAGGTCAACATAAGCCCAGAGCATTCTGGCTTGGCACATGCATCTGCTGAGTGAGTATATAAGAGGAGATACATAGGAGGAGCAAACCAGATGGCTTTACAGAAACATTCCAGCTGTGAGCTTTCTTAACATGCATTATTAATATCTTCAGTTAATTCTCTCTTGGACGGAAGTTGCTGATGGGATAGAGGAAAAGCTATTGCATCCTCCTTTGTTTCCAAATAAGTCACTTTTTCCTATGAGAGCTGCAAGTGTTATTTCTTCTTTCAAAAATGCTGTTGTAATCATCTGTCACAGCTCTCCCACAACAAATCTTTTTTCACCATATTTTTACCATTAGGACTCCACATGTAATAGATTATTCTCATGTTGTTTAGATTCAAAATATGGATCATCAATTTCTTAAAAAAATAAAAATGAGTAAAACATTTTAAAAGTATTTTACTAGTGTCCGTTGACTGGAAAGAGACATTGTCTGACTTCTCTATGTAAAAATACTTAATTTCTGCATCTCCACTTCTATCACTGATTCCAAGTTTGAAAAGAAAGGAAAAGTGATGCTTTTAGTTTATTATACAGATTATTATTTATTTGTTAATGGTATTATCAGATTCCTATCTCAAGCTGTGGCTTTTTTTTTTATATATATATAATTAAGAGGAAGGAGAGAAAAAGTCTCAGAAGTAAAGGGAGGAAACAGTTCCTTCTTAGTCACAGGTGACCATCAAAAACCCCGAACAGTGGGATTAATTAGGTAAGTCAGTATAAATAGTAGAAGAAGGATAGTAAACATATTGATAAAATGCAGAATCACTCCTTTGCTGTTATCTTTTCTTGCCATGATTTAAACATGTTTCTTCTTGAAATAATTTAGGCTGCCTCTGGCATTATCTTGTCTGAAAGGCTGTTCCGTATCTTCATCCATCCAGAAGTTAGAAACCTTATCATAATTGCCTGGTTTAGAGGAAATTACACTCCTTTGACCCTGGACCAGTATTATCCTTTAACTTAAATAGCTCTGTCTCTAGGGGGTATCTACTCTTCATATGAGAGTAATCACAGTCCTCAATGCTTTCAACCTCTTGTAGAACAGAATTTCTATTCCCATGATCACCCCAGTAGTCATCTTCTGTACCTGTGCATGTTTTTTAATACAAATTACTAGAAACATGCACCATGCCTTTTCTGAGGTTTACTGATGCCTTATGCAGTGGCACTAAATACTTCCGTATATCTGTTGAAGATACCAGTCCTGCTACATCATAGCACTTTGCATTATTCATGGTTCATAACATTAGAGTCATGACACTCCTGAGCCCTCTCTTCCACCCTGTGCTCCCAACCTCATAGCAGAAATTCTTGTGAAAATCCTCAATGCAAGGCTCTGCACCTGGTAGTCTTGCATTTTGAAGATATTATTCAGTTAATCAAAGAAAAGGGTTTAGGCTGAAAGGAGCAATATACCAGTCTCATGGACTATCCATGTAGCTGTCATGAAGAAGACTGCCACTCGTACACTAGGCTTTCTAGCTGTAGTCTTGTGCACAAGGAAAGACGTGCCCTGTTACAAAGGACAGTACATTTCAATACATATTGTATTAAACAATTTACTGCAAGAGACAGGGACATCAAGAAACAAATATATAAAATCTAAGTTATTTTTGTTTGGTTTACATATTATGTTACTAATAGACACCTATTAAACCTGCACTGAAAAGTGACCTGTATTTTCTGCCCAAGTAAAATTAATTTCATGTTCTGTAACTGTAAACTACTATATTTTCTTCAACAAAACCAACAAAAAAGGATGAGGACAAATGGTAACAGTTTCAGAGAGGTTACAGTAAGCATGTGTTTTTTTAAACACTTGTTGCTTATGAAAAATCACTGTTTTTCAGTGATCTAGAGTATAACTGCATCTAAATCTCTTTAATTTTCATAGAACATGCCCAAGTCTTACCCTGTTAATCATGCTAACAGGCATTGTCTGATGTATTTCCTTGGCATGCTTACAGATTGCACTGTAATATTCTGCAGACCTAGAATATGTTTATTCAAGGGTTTTACAGATGACACAAATCCAGTTGTGGGTATAGCAGCCAAATGAAGATTCTGTTAGTGGATGTTGATGCTTCCATTGCCATGACATTCAGGATCTCAGTCATCTCAGACTCCAGTTGTGCTAGGTGTTATACAAGACATAGCTGTTTTGTGAGTATAGGGTTTGGAGGGATTGTCCAATGGCTTACCAAAACATTAAACATTTTGGAGAATTCCTCCATTGTTATGCAGGTGTTTTCTTATGCATTTATCTAAATGGACCAATTTCACTTGGATTAATAGTGAACTTCCACCATTCCCTAGATGTGCTTTCACAATATTCCATCTGTAAGCAAGGCAAAGGGATGCTTAAGTGTATATCAGAGCAGTTTCGTATTGGAAATGCAATTTAAAATAAAACAACACAGAATGGTAAAGATAGTTTACTTAGTCCAGATATTGGTTCTTGTTTGACTTTCAACATCTTAAGGTGGTAACAGTTCCTGCTGACGGGATTGGGGTCATAAAAATGTTAAGGCTATGCAGTAATAACAAGGAATGATTAGAGCACGAAGGCTCACCATCTGAGATTTTATAAGATATGTGGATTTATTTTTTTCCTTTTAAAAAGGCACCTTCATTCCGTTGTTTCCCAAAGAACAAATTCCATCATGAAACACTGCTCCCCCTTGAACTGAATGGTGAGGCCACCTCACCCAGTTTGTGCCTTCCATATCCTTCCCTTCTCAGCCTATCTACCCGATCTACCATAGGAGGGACCAGGACCTACTTTGTTTTGTGAAAGCTAAACATTCCCCCTGTCCCTGCATGCAGCCATTAGCAGAGGATGGCTCCTCTTATAAACAGTGTATGAAAGGCTATAAACAAAGCTAGGGAAGTATATGAAAGGCTGCAAATAAGGCTATTTCAGGTCTACCTTCAGTTTAAACTACTGTTACTAACACCATACTGTCTTTCTCATTGGTATCTTTTGCCTTTGTTCCTCTTAGAAAGAGCACAGAGACTACAGAAATGGAAAAATTCACTCATCTGGAAGCTCTGCTGTTTACTGCTGTGCTGGAGAATTGTGTTGATCAGCTCTCAATTCTTGGATACATCATGCCAGTTCCGTATGAGGGCAAGACAGACATCAGCCACGTATGTGCCTCTATTCTTGCTCTTTAAAGAAATCTGTCTTGGTTTTCTTCTTGTCTTGGTTTTATGTCTTCTAGCAGCGTTTTTTAAAAATCAACTCAGATATTTTTTCTGCAAAGTGCTCCATGACCATTGGGTGAAGAAACACAATAAAATGGATGACCAATGCAGCATCACTGAGAAGCCTTTATCAGGACTTTGTGCAAAGGACCCCACTGACCCAAGATGAGGTTCCTGGGCTTATAATTTTAAAATCACGGTGGTTAGATGACAAGCAAAGGATTAGGGAAAAGGAAACAAAATATATCTAGGTTCTTATCTAGATACACAGCTATTTTAAAAATGCAGAAGAACAGGATATTTGAAAATACTCAAACCCAAGGTATTTCTGTTCCTCTCTAAGTCCATGCTAAAGTTCCTTTAGTCCTCACAGACAATAATTCAGAAAGATTCCACTTGAACATATATTAGTAACTACCCATTCTCAATGACCATTATTAATTAGTTGATTTCTAATAGGCATCATAACTAAGAGTGTTTGGGCAGAGATATAAAGAACAGAGAAGAAGCCCTAATGCTCAGGCAGAGGTTTGTTGCTGTGGAGAAAGGTGTTGTGATATTTCTGGTAGCTGGCAGACACAGGAAACAGGATGGGACCATCCTGAGGGGTAAATGGTTCTAAGTTCTGTTGTCATATATTTTAAATGACATAGCAGGCTGTTTCTAGTTTAAGCAGGTTTGAAACTCTTTTTTAAGAGGAACTAAAAACAAGTGTGTGACCAGGATGGAAAATAAAAACTGGGATCCGAGTTTTCAGATCTAATGCTGTTCACTCTGTTTAATGTACCACTTAAGAATGCAAGAAGAAGGTAAATCAATATGTTGTTTTCTGCGCTTTTCCTTTCCATACTACCACCTTTCCAAAAATTCCATTGCAAAGCAGCCAAGGCTGGTGTTACAGTAAATTTCAGGGCGTGAACGATGCTTAGACTGTGCAATAGAGGGCACTCCTCCCCTTAAAAGAGTCCTGTGAGCCAGCTTCACCTGTTTCCAGAGGATGTTTCTCCCTCACAGAGCTGGGTGGGAAACCTCTCATGTGTCAGGAGCAAAAACACAGAGAAAGAGCATATGTCTAGGACAGTAGGAATTGTTCTTCAGACACACAGACTCAGGTTGATAGACCTACTAAAGGTACACTTAAATTATAGAGAAAACACCTTAACTGTTCTCTTCAATGACAGATGCTCATTTTTACCAAGTCATTTCTTAAAACACAATTTTCTCACAGACTATAAACCCTACTTGTGTTCTTAAAGATCCCAAAACAAATCGAGAAGGAAACAATTTAGAAACAAGAAAATGGCTTAGGGAAGCTACTTGCTAACTTTGGTGCTCTGTAATTTGCTACTCCTCCCTGTTTCTTAGTTTACATTTGGCTGCTATCATCATATTTGTAGAAGACCTGTATTTGCAAAGCACCCTGGAGCTCTGTCAGTCAAAAAAATCAATGACATTTTCAAAGCCAGACACCTAAATTTCAGTTGATGACATTTTTGAGAGGATTAATCACAGTGTTGGCCAGCACCTCATTGATTTTCCAAATCGGGGACTCTTGTATATTGCTTCATGCAGTGCATTCCCCAGAGGAAGGCAGCCTTTCTATTTGCTGAATTTTGGGCAAAAGACTAGCAAAAGATAAACAGCTAGGAGACTACACAGATGGTAACACAGGCAGTTTACAAACTCTTTGCTCTTACATAGTTATTTGGTAATTATTAGTGTGTAAGTCCCTACTGTTTACAGACAGTCCAGTTACAGCCTGTCTTGAACTTTCCCAGACTTTAAAAAACCATCTATCGGAACATTCATAAAATCTACATGATATTAAAGCAGTTTGTTTGCCAAAATTAGTTCTTTCTGAAGTACAGCCATCACCAGCAAACTATTTAAACCCTTTTTTTCTAATTAACTATGTACTTTTCATTTGTCTGTGTATACTTTGCATGCGATTCATTTAATGTAAATTTAACTGTCCAAAAATTAAGCATGTAGTCACACCTAGACTTCTTCTGTAGTCAGTGGTGAGTCAGGCACTGCCAGAGGCTGATTTGTCCCATCCGGAGATGTCCAAGATACTCAGAATGAAGCAGCCCCTTGCAGTGCCCTGTGCACTGCCCTCACAGACTATGGCAGCATCGCAGACCACTAATGGAGCCTTGCTTGACAAGTAACTTCTTGGAAGTACTACTACTGGCATACACAGTTGCTGCCCTGACCGCTTGTTTTTACTCTGCCCTCTGTGCTGTGTTGGCACAAACGTGTGTGTGGTTGTGAACAGATCTGGACTGAGAACTGGTGCTGCCAAAAATAAACTTTTTTTTTTCCTATTTGCTGGAAAATGTTTCAGCTCAGTGAGTTCTCTAATCCATTTCCCCAAGCAGCCAGGGTGAGGAGTAGGCAGCTATGGACTAGGATGGGGCTGGCAGTGACTGCGTTAGCTGGCCTCAGTGGTACTGCTATTAAGTGTTGAGCCAGAGATGCCAGTAGGCGGGCAAGAAAATTTTCTCTTTTTATGTCCCAGTGTATATGCCTGCATTCTTAGCCATAGTACATAAAGCAGAGAAATTCATAGAAGTAAGGCCTCAGCTGATTTTATAATGTGCTTTTGCTTTTCTGGGGCTTTTTCTTTTTCAGTAAAATTGGATATGGCCACAAGATACCTTTTCATGTATAAGAGATCTGCCAATATTTTGAATTTCTTCTTTGAATTCATGTTATACTTCCTCTGCTGTCACTCTCTCAAAAAACCAGCTAAGCAGATAGCTGATGTCTATCATTTCTATTTCCACACACCTCAGCTCTTGTTATAATAATAATATTGTAGGGAGGCAGTAGGAAATGGCTAAGATGGAGAGAAGGCAGAGGGGCAACAGACTAACAGTCTTCCAGTACATAAAAGCTGCTGCAAAGAAGGATGGAATTATTTGTTCTCTGTGCCTACGGAGACTAGGACAAGAAGCCAGGGGCTCAACTGCAGCTGAGGAGAAAAAACTTTCTTATGGTAAAGATTGTTGTGAAGTGCTGGCACTGGCAGGAGCGTGCATAGTCTCCATTGCTGGAGGTCATTAAGAACATGTCAGGAATGACACAGCCTGAACCACCATCTCTTGGGGCAGATGAATTCACCTTTTGAGGCCTTTTCTAATCCTGTCACTTTAGGACTTTTGATCCCTTAAACTTTAATAAGCCTACATTGTGTGCTCAAAGCTAACCAAGATAAATGTTCCGGCTCTTCTACTCTTTGCAGAATGTAACATACGCTATCAACTGCTCTTAGAATGGCTTCATTCTAGTTTATTATTAATATTTCTTCCGCTCACATAACGTCGCAGAGGGTTTATTTCTACTGCCCAATGTGCAAGCACATCTCTCTCATTCCCTTTTAGACTGGCATCCAGGAAATGAAAGAAATCACAGAGACCCAAAAGGACCTGGACATTAACTACCAAGAGCTTATGTCGGCAAGGCCAGGGAGTGGGGGAACAGTTACCTCCATGTCTCTGAAAAGCATCAAACACAAGCAGCAGCTGGGGAAAACTGAAGATCTAAAAAGTACCCATCATCTTTCCAATAGAGCCATGAAACACAGTGCTCTGTCTGTAGAGAAGCTCAGAAAAATTCAGGCTGACAGGTGAGTGAAGCACAAATATGATGACTGTCGGGGATGCTCAGAGCTGTAAAGTTCTTAGTCTATCTCTTGAAAGCAAAACCACAAGCTTTCCATTCTCCCACTGCTGGTGTACCTCACTCTTGATCTGGAAGGAGTACTTCTAAAGAGAGCACTGGGGTCTAGCTTTGTAGGCCATTTAGTTCTGGCCTTTACTTGCCTCTGGATGCCAAGTAATGACAATCAGTTTATTCTGAATGGAGTTGCAAAATATTACCCAGTTGATAATGGTTGCTTGGGTAGAATTCATGCCAGGTAAAAGCCAGTGCTCATGTTCTGGTATCTGGAGTCAGGTTCCCCTAGCAGATATATACAGGCAAAGTGCAATCTGAGCATTTGAAGAAGAAGAGGCTGAGGGGAGACCTTATTGCTCTCTACAACTACCTGAAAGGAGGTTGTAGTGAGGTGGGTGTTGGTCTCTTCTCCCAAGTAGTTAGCAATAGGACAAGAGGAAATGGCCTCAAGTTGTGTCAGGGGAGGTTTAGATTGGATATCAGGAAAAATTTCTTCATGGAAAGACTGCCCAGAGAGGTGGTGGAGTCACCATCCCTGGAAGTGTTCAAAAAACATGTAGACGTGGCACTCTGGGACATGGTTTAGTGGACATGGTGGTGTTGGGTTGATGGTTAAACTGATGATCTTAGAGGTCCTTTCCAACCTTAATGATTCCTAGTTTTAATTTCATTAAAAAATAATCCAGCCACCAAGCCAGGAAACATGAAATTATTACTCTACCCTTAACTGGTTTAGTGGTGGACTTGGCAGTGCTAGGTTAACGGTTGGACTGGATGATCTTAAAGGTCTTTTCCAACCTAAATGATTCTATGATTCTATGATTCTATTCTATGACTGTCTCATGAACTCAGTTATTCTGCAGGGCACACAGAGCCTCTATGGTAGCTACAGCCATTCCCCTTTATAGAGCAGGTAATGTATATAAAGACCAAAGAACTTCTTTCTTTTTTTAAAATAAATTTTATTCCTGCACCTAATCCAGTGCCTCGATTTGCAGAAATACCAGCAATCTTTGGTTTAAAAGACAGACTGGGGAGCTGAGCATTCAGTATGCATTTTTCTGCATCCTGGCTTCTGTCCTTTAATGTTATTTCAACAAAGGGCTTAAAGAAGATCCTAACACAAATTAAGAAAATGCAGCTAAAATATAAACACCACATGCACCATGACATTCAATAAACTGGGCAAGCCCATGTATTTGTTAAGATCACCCTAGTGCTGTACTGGGATATTTTTGGCACCCAGATATCCCTTCATAGACACACTTGTCTGCACCCCCAGGTCTCGTTTTCTGAGATCCACCTATTTGCCACCACTCCTGCAGGCCAGCAGCCTTCTTCCTAATGGCAGCACAGTCTGGCAGAGCAATGGATATGTTTGTGCCTCTTTGCTATTTGCTAGAGTAGCATCCAGGGCAGCATTTTTAAATTATCAACTTCACCAACTCCTAATACAGAGTTCTCCAGATGTACAAGAAGCAGATACCATGAGAGAAGCACTCCTGGGTTTGATAGGACACAGGAACAGAAATGGGATCTTATATTTCCTTACTTTTTTAGCTGTAAACAATAATGGATAAAGGTGCCAGACACTGTAATACCAGCATCTATAAATTACTGTTGTGTTCCTTCTCTTCCTGGCAGGCAGTATGCAAGTGATGTAATTACAGTCACTATGAAAAAGATGCAGGAATCAGGAACATTTAATAGCCTAACAGAAGCTAATGAGAGAGAGAAGGCAAAAAAGAGCAAGTTTCATGACATTCTCATCAGGTCAGTGTTGTGTTCAGTACTTCCCTGCTTACCTGCTGAAAGCCAAAGCCCATTCCTGTATGTGCTAAAAAGGAAAAAAAAACAAACCAAAATACAGAAAGGATTCTACTTTTTTCTACTTGAATTATTCTGTCTGCTTTACAAAACGCACTTCTTTCCCCTTCAGAAAGAAATAACTGGTGGTTCTGATACTGATCTGAGCTAGGAATTGCCTGAGCTTTGACCACAGTGGACACCAGTGTCTGCGCTAATGCAAATGCTGCCACGTATCAATTAAAACATGTGATGTAGGAGCTCCCTGATCTTTAACTCTTGTCCCCAGTGAAAGCCAGAGCAACAGAGAATCTGTTCAAACCAGGGCCAGCAACATATGGTCTCTAGGTTATGTGATGCCCAGGAGAATCTGCTCTGACCCATATGCTAATATGCTCCCTTTTCCCAGTAGCAGCGAGGGGATAGCACAGATGGTGACAGAGGCAGTTGTCTTATTTAAAGCTAATGCACCAGCCACTGCACTATAGATCCTCTTCTGTCCCAAATCGTATGGGGTACAGATGTGTTATCATCTCAACTCAAACTGGTGATTCCTCAGCTCAAACTTCTGTGCACTAGAGGTTTGGAGTTTTTTTAGCATGGGAAGCTCTGGTTCAATCCCAAGCCCGTCAGAGAGAATAGCAGTCATCAGAGAATTATTTGACCATTTTAAAGCTACTTTGTTCTGTGTAGCAGCTCAGGGTAGACAGCAAAGCTGCTCTAAGTCATGATTTGTCACGAGTCCAACCTACTGGAACAGCTCTGGTGGTGGCTCAGGGGTCTGCCTCCGGGGCAAGTCCCCAGCTTCCAGTGAAATGTGTGATTTCAAGCATGAAACCCAATTCTTCCACTGTCTAAACCCAAGGGTTTTATTGTTTATCCATGGAAAGGACAGAAAGCAAAAATGAAAGCAGCAATTGCTTGTGGAACAACTATCCAATACTGGAAGGTAGAAAGGACATAATCCGTTTTATTCCATTCTGTCAACCATATCTAGTTGTTTATCATATCGTGTTGTTTGTTCTACTACATATTCTTTTCATGGAATGAACTTGATCTGTCTTTCAATACAATATATACTTGTCTGGTTTTGCGTCAACAAGACTAGTCTGAAAGCAGTCTGCAGTAAGACTGGAACTCCTTATCAGGAGCTTTTGTTCATCACAGTCACGCAGCTAAGGCCTCTGAAAATGAAATACATATTTGATTGTAAGGTTGGGATAGGGTACGAAGTCTCAGGTACCAACTGTAGTATTTACTAGCTTTAAATCAAATCATAAGCATAAAAACTTAGAAAAGCACTCCAAGTGAAATAAGACCTAGAACATTACTGCATCTGTTTTGTTTTAGACAGGTAAACACCTCTCTAGCTTTTGGCCTTCACTCACATCCCTTCATGGATCTCAGAACCCGAGGCAGTGTTTTTTGGAGGATTGTAAGTCTGATATGAAAAAAACATTCTCCATACGTATAATGAAACTTACACAGTTTGGCACTGTCTGCTGATTAGGCATGCTTCTGCACAGAATCAGGGAGACTTTTGCTTGAAATGCAGAAGCTGTGACTCAATGATAGGCATCTTCCCTCTCTGCTATAGGAACTGCGTCATCCTCAAGTCCACTCTGGGCTTTCAACAAGAGCATCCCCTGGTTTTCGGCTCATTCTCCCTTTCATTTGCATCCTCCTTGCTCAGCCTGTGCGCCTCTTCTTTCAGGATTTACTAAACCAAGACACTAGCTTTGGTGAGAAGTCTCTGTTCCTGACTCGCAGATGTGCTGCCTCCCCGAGGCTCAGGGTGAAGAGATGAATGCATTTTTTGCTACTCAGCCACGGGAAGCAGCTTGTCTTCTGCTGGTCTGAAGAAGCAGGCCAAGCTTTTGTGTGCACTTCTTTTAGTTCAGCAGCTAGAAACTCATTGAGGGAGTGGGATAAGCAGGGCAGTGTTCAGCTGGGTGCCGCAATGTATCAGGAGACAGGAAGTTCCCCTTCTAGGTAAACAGCTCTTGTCTTTTTTGATATATTCAAGTGATTGTATTTTCCCATTTTTCTTCAGGGAGGAGGAAGGAAAGAAGGAGATAAAGTCACTTGAGAAACAGCTGCAAGATGTCAAGAAACAAACTGAAATAGAACTTCAGGTGAGATCACTTAGCACTGGGCATCACGCCAGGGGGGAAGCCTGTTAGCAAGCTCGCCTCTGCTGCCCAGGAACTAGCACTCAGATGAGCGGATGTGTGGCATATATAATGATCCATCATTTAAGAATATAGAAGCAGAATAACTGCAATAAAGATTTGTATTCTGAATAAGCCTGCTAACAACTTTAAGAGCAGTGTCCAATGGTTTTCAAATGGGAGCTCAAAATGCTCATAGTCATGAGAGACCATGATCTATTTAGAATACGCCCAAAACAGTGCTGGGAGTGGCAAAGCACAGACACATGCAATCAGTAAGAAAGAGGTTATCTGCAGATAGCAGTATCTAAGGTTCTGTAATACTTACTCATGCAGACGTGACACCTGACACAGAAGAAAGTGTGACAATGAGGGAGTGAGAAAGACAGACACCTGGCATAAGGGCATGTAATTTTTCTACCTATAATTTTGTCTGGGGAAAACTTCACGATTTTAATCTATTTTTCTAGGCTTACAGATAGTAGCAAATCCCAAATATGGGAGTCCTACACAAGGGCAGATCAATGTTATTGCACATATGCTGTCAACTTGATCTTTCTGGAAAGCTTCAGCCCTTCTGTCTGCAGCATGCAAATGGTGTGTGCATGCACAGCAAATCTGGGGCATCCTGGACATGTCAGACTTGCTACACAAGTGCAGATCAATTGAATGGCATATCACTGGTCACTTTGATGCTCTCCAGACAGCTCAGACTTGATGCTTGTGCATGCTTTAGAGCAAAAGCACATGCAAAAACATGTGCAGAAACATGGAAATGTAGCCTAACCTTGCTGAGGCAGGAAAGAGTATGTGACAGAAAACAAGCAAAAGGCAGGCAGGTTCAGAGCCATACAAGGACTGGAAGAAGGAACAAGAATCTGATGCTTGGTTCAGTACTGAGCAAGAGGACAGCAAGGGCATCTGAGGAAAGAATCAGTATGACTGAATTTTGTCTTTGGACAAAAGTGCAGACAGTAATCAAGCCAGGATATAGTTGGCTACAGAGAGGAATTTTAAGCCACTGACATGCTGGTGAAGTACAGTTTATAGAACGTGAAGGTTTTGTGTTGGCAGCCTGGATGCATGTGAGTGGAAAGTTTAATTGTAAATACAGGATGGTTGTAAGAACATGAAGGATCTATTGGCGGTGGTAGCATATGCAGCTATCTATAACACCAGAAGTTCAGGGGAGATATTAGAACAGCAGAGAAGAAAGCAGGAGTGTACAAGATGGGAAAATTCATTTAGGCCAGTACTCATCTACTAGCAGAGATCCTGGAAATGCACAACATACACTGGGAAGTGTAGCAAGACAAAAAGAACACTGGAAAAAAAGTGTGGACATAACAGAGCAGAGAAAGAAGAGGAGTCACTGAAGGAAATGGGCAGTTAGCAAGTTAGGAGACAAACCAAGAAAGAACAGTTGTGGGAACTAAAAGAGAAATACAGGATGAACTTTTTTCCCTAAAAAGGATGTAGAGATCAGAGCCAGGACTGAAAAAGGGAACAGTATACCTCAACATATACTTACTGACTGCCACTGGAAATGGTATGGGAGCCTATTTCCAGGCCCTATGGGACAACCCAAAAGTCCCTTGACATCTGTGTGGCAGTTAAACAAAGTAAGTTGGATAGTTTGTCAGGCTCAGAGACTGTATGTTGTCCATTTGCTTCTGCACATTGTCCCTTCTCAGTCAGATTCGGATGGCTCCTGCAAAGCTCCTGTTCTCCCACCCCCAAGCTAGTGAATATGATGAGGTAGTTCTTCTTCTGTGTAGTGCTCCTCAAACCTCACAGTGTCTGTGCACACAATATATGTATCCGGTTCTGGTTTAATGCCTTCCCAGGGACTGGTGTACAGGGGGCTGTAATCACCCCATCTTGCACTAGCAGCAATGTCCTGGCACTGTGCAGTCAGGCTGGGCACTTCTCTGTGTCCTGCCCTGCACCTCTCCTACCTCTTGCAGTCATAAGAAGGTGTGTAGCTCCCATGCTGAGAGGTTGCTCTTCTCCATGTTCTTTCAGTACCTTCTGCTAATTAGGTTCTTGCTTTTTGCCTCATCAAGTGGGATCTGCAGTCATCTGGGATTTTGTTTTTATATTTCCAGCTTAAAAGCCCTTTTCTGGGCTTCCTTATAGTTTCAGCTTTGATAACAAATCAAAGACAAGACTACTTTCAAGTACTGCTTTCCTCCTGTGCCAAAAAAAATGGTGTCTCACTGTGTCTCCCAAGGGATTTTCCCATAGGCAGTTTTACAGACACTTGCATGATTTGTCACCTTGCCAACTAATTAAAAACAAAAATACAGCTTGCTGATTTGGGAGTACTTTGAACAATAATAATGCACAGACCTGTAGACAAAAGCCTACATGGTTGTCTCCAGTCTAGTGGATGAGAAAACAAAAGTGAGCAAATCTAATCATGGAACCAGAAAAACACGGTCTTTGCTTCATGCACGTTGCCTGTATGTTTGTATTTTCAGCCTTACTACCATTTAATGAGATGCTAATTAATGCTGTATTAGCCTGCTCAGCTCATTTTTCTTTCTAATAGAACACAAATCAAATGCTAAATGTTCTTATTTATTTTGTTTTCTTTCCTCTTGGAAAGCCTCTCTAAAGGAGCTGAGATGATCAGTCTGGTTTTGCTCTTACCCATCCATGGAGGAGCATCGCCTGTAGCTCTAGTTTGGCTGCAGGAGTTCTGTTAGATGCTGCAGTGTTCACTTCCTAGCTTGTACAAAAATACTCACTTTTTCTGGTTTCCTGGACAAATGATGTCAGTCTGTACAGATTTTGAAACAAGTTAATATCATAAAGAATTACATAGTTTAACATAAAAATTTAGGAAAAGTAAACTTCAGAATTCCTGCATTGCAATTCACCCAAAGACTTTTTTATATCCTGTAGGTTTTGTGGTATACTCATGCCATACATCTGTGCAAGTCATGGTATAATTTTTTAACAAGCAGTAATATTGCAGGCTACCTACCAGACAGAAAACCACAATGTTGCACCACGGTACCAGTGAAAACAGGTCCGTAACTTTTATTCTGCGTGGGCTCTCGTAACACACCCAGCTCCACTGTATCAGTGCGTCACTCGGTAGTGCTTGTAGTAGTGCGACTAAGATCTGTCATGTTTCTTTCCTTACCCTCTCCCAGGAGGACAAATGCATCCATGAAGTGTTCTGGGCAAATGTGTTAAACATATATACGCACCCACTGGTGCATGTTTCTACTGGAGAAACGCACCGGGTGATTACAGTAGAAGGCACAAGGTTTGTGATGGTCCTTTGCTCCTGGGTGACTTCATCCCACTGCTGGCAGAGTCCCAGGGCAGCTCAGCAGGACCCAGAGCTGGTACACTAGATCCAAACCTGGCTCCAGAGGGACAGAACTTTTGAAAAGAGTGCTGCTGCCAATGGGTCTGCTCCCTCTGCCGGCAAACTGCCCCTCACAGAGCTCACTCCCGCAGTTGTTGGGATTGGAGGTGAGCTAGCAGAGGGCTGCAGAAGCTGTTATGCTGAAGTTGGGTGACCTTCCAGGCCTGCTGTCCTTTTGGCTGAGGCATTTCTTGGGGGTGCGCAGCATGGGGATGTTCTGGCAGCAGAGATGTGGGCTACGGCCTTATTGAAGTGTCTGCAGGGCTGCACGTTGTGGTTTCAGGGGGAGCAAGCCCAGGCTGCAGCAGGTGTGTAGATCTAAGCATATCTTCAGGCTTTGCAAGCTGAGATATTGCAGCTGCCAGTGGAGAGACTTGAGCCCATACGTGCTGGGTGTGGAAGCGAGGAGGCAGGCAGCAGGGCTCGCTGCCGGCATGCTCGCTGCCTCCACATAGCACAGCACCCGTTCCCCTGCCCCCTCCAAGTGCCTGCCAAATGGCAGGCGCTGGGTGTGCTGCTGGCGGCAGGGGGTTTATCTGACTGCTGGAGGAATTCCTTGGACTGTTTACTCCTGTTTGCTATTTTTGTAACCAGCTGTATTTTGAGTGACTGTAAATACTAATTGCTGTGGAAGAGCTGAGAGACCTAGGTGGCACTTGCAAGAGAGATAAATCAAAGTAAATGAAAATACAGGCGTGCGCATACCCTCTCCAGCTAAGCACAGTTACTTTTGCAGCCAAGCAGCATCTGTGGGGCAGGCTCCTATGGCACTGGATAACAGCAGCAGACACGCCTCTGAGCTGATGTCTGTGAGCTGAGAGATCAGAGAAAATCAGCTTGTTTACCTGCTTTCAAAGCAGACTGGCTCTTGACGACTATTTTCTGGGTTTTGATCTTGGTCGCTGCCAGTTTTGTGATAGTTTTGGACACATGAGTTATGATTTTGCATCTTTGGTTTGGCAGATTCAACGCTGAAGTCATCCCAAATAAGCAGACCAGAGGTTTACTGCATTAACTATGAAAGCGCCCCATGTCCTGGCTGGGCCCTTTGCTATGATAAACCAGAATGAATAAATATAACTCATTTTCCCAGTGCCTGCCCCTGAAGTTCAGGGAACAGCGTACTCCACAGATGGTACCCACAGGTTGTGGACATTTACTGCTGCATTTACTACCTGCAGCCTAATACCGAATGTGCCCCAGTTCTGCGGCGCCAGGTCCACCAGCTGGGCTGCGGTAGCTGCCCACACACCTGCAGCCGACTTTCCCTCTCCACATGAATGCGTTACTGTAAACCACCCGTGGGGTTTTGCATTTCACTTCCCGTCTGCTTTGGATTGTGTAACCAAGCCCCCAGACTCCCCACCTCTAACGAAGATGTTTTACAACACCACAGACCAAATCCAAATCACAAACATGCCATACGATAAAGAAAACAAACAGAGCAGATGGGCCCCCATCCTGGCTGAGGCCTGGGGTGCTGGAATCAAAAGCACTTTTTCACTAAAATATGAAATTAAAAAGAAAATAACCTGGTGAAGTGCTCATGCTTTGCCCCACCTCTGTAATATCTGAGTGCTTTGTAACCTAGGCTGAACCCTTCTTTTCTGACCTGTTTGCAGATCCTTAGCAGATAGCAGTAACACACTGACATTAGCAGCGCCTGGCTTTGCTGAGCCTCAGCGCCACAAAAAAATCAGTGTTTCTCATTAGCATCTCCCCAGTCTCTCCGCCAGCCCCTCAATTTAGACATGATTCCACCATGACACAGGAAAACAATCTCAAAATAAAGTGGTATGGTCACCTCCCATGTGTACTGACCAGGAACACAACCATTCCCAATGGCCACCAAAATTTCATACCAGGGAAAATAAAGGCCGTTACCAGAAACCTTAATAGGGCACAAATAGGTCATGTCTGTAGCTGTCTACAGTCATATGATGATACGGCCATAAAATAGTATCTGATGTTGGAAACCTTCAAAAAAATGTGAACGCATGACTTTTAAACCCACAAAACAGCATCAGCCAAGGCCCCTAATTGTCCTGAGCCTTATAAATATACTCTACTCTTTCTAACTATGTCCAACAAGGGGTGCAGAGGGAAGGATTTTCCTTTTAACTGTTCCAGACTCTTCTTATAAGGAAACCTTTTCCAAGTGAGTCATGCTGCAGAGGCTTTTAAACACAGCGCTATTGAGCTGGCTTCTTCCTGTGGCATTTTTCCATGTTTACACAGCTAAGGAATGCAAGGGCGCTTCAGAGACAAGATATGTGGGCTTCAAAACACTTAAACGCCAGCACTTCAGTATTTCATCTTCAGCTGCAAGGTTTGGCTGGCGAATGTCAGACCCGTCATAGCATGGCAGGAAAGCAAAGAGAAAGGCTGTAATGGAGCAATCGGGTGCCAAAACGGAGGCATTAAGATTGATCTTGCATAATTGCACAGGAGACTTTGATGACCTTTTTAACTCTGAATACAAAAGTCTAGAGTTTTTCATTTTACGGGCAGTTCTTCCAAGTTCCAACCCCAGATCAATGAACTTTCATCTGTTACTCAAAGAAATTCATTAAAAAGGAGTAAACAAAACAACATTACCAAATCAAGCAAATGCACTGTGCTTCCTGAGCACACTCAAAAAGCTGGACAAACAGGGCATGTTGGCTCAGGATTCTTGCCCATAGGGGAGCTCCTGGGGACAGAATTCCCCCAGGAAAGCTCAGCTCCATTGCAAAACAAGGCATGGGGAGAAGCTGGGAGCTCATAGCCAGCTTTTCCTTGGCACTTCTTCCTTGCCCTGGGTGTATGCTTTTATAACAAAGCGGCACCATCTACCTGGTAAGATTTCAAGAAAGAACTGTTTAAACATATGAGTGAGTCAAGATTAGATTTTCACCTGTTCCTAAGGTTGTGTTTATACAGTTGCTGCCTGACTAGAAAAAATGAATCCAAGGAAGGGAGTATACTTCAGGAAATCAAACTGTGGCGTACGTGGGGCTGAGGCATTATCCTCCTCTTACAGATGCTCACTCACTGAGATGGCCTAATCCAAGAGGTTTATAAAGCCTAACTTTAAGCAGCTGAAATTATTGGGCTTCTTTCATGCTTATAGTAAGCATGCCTGAATCCAGTCCTGGACCAGAGACCAGAAGGCCTGGCTTCTTGTCCCACTCTGTTCATCACTCCACCCTCTCCAGAGGTAGTCACTCCTCGCTGATGGGTTTATTGCCTTTTGTATGGGTTACAAATCAAACTTCCCTTTGAAGTAGAGGCCGAAATGGGGCAACACTCAGGGAAAGTGTGAGCCTATAGCCTTGTCTCTTCTGACTTCATCAGGGAGTGGAGAGATTAAGAAACAGTGAGCTGACCTCAGTCTCCAGGCTTGCTTTTGTGCTTCTTCTTTCTCCTCCACTAGAACCAAGATAGTATGATTGCCTACCTCAGAGACGAGCTCCAAGAGATGAAGGCCAAAATGAACACAGAGAGCTGCTACATGAAGAAAAGCACAGACCTCCAGGTCCACCAAACACAGAAGAAGTGCAGCAATGCAGAGAATGCCCTGGACAAGGAAATTCAGGTAAGGCCTTCCCCATGGCCCCTACTGGAAGGCACCTCCAGCTAGTAAGGAAGGAGTCCTCCCTCTTTCCCCAGATGCCCTTTCTGTTCTCCATCACAGTCACCAACACAACTGTTTGAACTGGATCAGGAAACTCATCCAGGATAGATATCTTTGTATCTTCCATTGCTTTTCTGTATGGTCCTGCAAACAGCATGGCTGGCATGGCTGCAGGAGACAGTGGCTGGAGGCAGGGACTGCTTAAACTAATACCATCGTCAGAGAAACAGACCCATAACTATGTCCAAAGGGTATAGTTACAAGGCCATTTAGCAACATGAGCAGCCCAGCATTGCCCACAGAACATTATGCTGATAGAGCTGTTCGTGTGGCCATAAGGTGAACTGGACTAGAAAACTGTTCTGGTTTTGCAAGCTTTTTTTTTGACTGATCAAGGTCTGATCTAGTTGGCCCTTTTTCATGGATGGCCCAGGGGCAAGGACTGCCTCGGTTAATTTTGTCACTGGGAAAAATGCCTGTGGACTACACAGAGAGATCCTGCACTCTTGCTCACCAGCTCGGCTTTCAGCAGCACGTGTGCGCACACACGTATGCACTAACACTGTCTCTCATGTTTTCTGTCTGTGCTGATCACAGAAGTTGAGGAGCAAAACTGATGAGGAGGTTCGAGTCCACGTGGAGATTGAAAATTTCCTCAGGCAACACCATAAGGTATGTGTGACTGTCTGCTAATGCTTAAAATAGCAAGTGATAAAACATTGTATCATCAATTAGTGCTTAAAGAAAACCAGTTATTGCTCCATCAAATTTGCCAGGTTCATGATTGCTACTGTTTGAATGACTACTTATCGTCAAGTCATAATTAACTTAGCTCTCCCAGACTTGGCATTTGCTACATTTGGATACATTTCCTTAAAATTAGAGTTCATGTGATGATTGGCATTGTTTATTCAGGTGTTACAGATTTTTCCACCCTCAGATAGTTGCATTCAGCTAACTGGAATTTATTTAGACCTTCCTTGGCAGTAGCTGGGGCTCCCAGCGACTCAGTGAAGAGTGCAAAGTGAGAGCAACAGTTTCACAGACCCAAGTGTTGCACAGAGCGGGGAACTAAGAAGGAAATGACACAAACTGCCAGCCCAGCTTTGCCTTGTCTTAATCTGAGGGAGAATCAGGGTTGGATAATCGCTAACTCACAGTTATGGTACCCATTTTCAGCAGCAAACAACTATGAATGTCCTTATGCTGTTGATCTGGAGGCTCAGAGCTTTCCAGAGTTGGTGACAGCATCACAGCAGTGCCCATTACAGTGAACAACGCTGGAAAGCATCTCATAAACCACATGACTGGAAGAAAACCTGTAATATGGCAGGGTACCCAACATCACTGCCAGTATGAAATATAATAGAAGATAATAAATTTTTAAAAATTTAAGTGCAAAAAAGTGCTGTATCTTGGGAGCAATTAAATAGTGTCCTCCATATCCCGGAACCTTAGTCTGATCAACGCCTCACAGTGAGGGGACTTTGCACATAGAAGCTGCAGCCTATTTGACCCCTACCAGAAGGCAAAGTGCAACTCTCTCTGTACTCAGACAGCAGCTGGTGGCTTTATAGGGGCCCACAGAGAAGAGGATGACCATGCCCTCCATCTCCCTTGTGTGTCCAGCTGTGATACCGTAATGAGATTGATGCTTTTCCTCAGATTATTTTTCCATGCAAGCAATCATGGTTGTTGCTATGGAGAAGTTATTCGTGAATGGGAGGAAGTCATCTGGGTGACTGTTTCAGCAACACCTGCCCTCCTATTCACGAGTGAGACAAAGCCAAGTTCACAACCTGAAATAGTGTGAAGTGCTATCCCCTGGGACCTTATTCCTGGTGCGCTGCGTTTAATCCAGAAAGCCGGCAGGGAGTCAGGCAGAGGATAAAAGCTTTCTCACTATCAAATTCTGTTTCTTAAATCCCCCACCCTCTGTATGCACACAAGGAATAGCTTCTGGTTGTCATTTACTTCACCAGGATTGACTGTCCACAAAAGTAACCCCCCGTGCTTCTCCCTCCTTCATGCACCAATGAAAGCACAACCCAGTCTCTCTTCATCCCCAGTCCAGTGCTGCGGCTTCCATGGTGAACGCCCAGTGAGGGGCCTGCAAACCACCAGTCGTTTATCACTAGCCCTAGGTGTTCGATCCTTTCAAGGCTTAGATGAGAAGGAAACAGTGACCATGCAAAATTTATGTGACTCTTACAATCATCCTGAAAGCAGGCCAGATAACAGTAGCAAACCTTGCCCCTGTACACTCTTTGTACCATGCTAAGCACCCCTCTATCCCCATGCAGATGGTGGAAGAGAAGCTGGAATACTGGGTGGACAAGTACGAAAATGACACAGATGCTAAAGATGAAGAACTGGATGCTCTAAAAGCATCAAAGGCAAGCAACTTGGAAATGCTGCAGAGACTTGCCAAGGAGGTAAGACAGCAGCAGCATCTCAGTGCTCAGCCATACAAAACTGCATCCTGGCTTTTTCCTACTCTCATTCAGATAAGGAGCCAGGACAATGGAAAAAAAAATCAGTAATCTTGAGGTGTAGGGTGTGATGATAATCATCGTCCTGGGAAGGCAGGGACTGAGCATTCATCTTCTATTTGCCACCTGTGACATCAAGGAGGGATGATGATGTTTCCCCTACAGCTATTTTCAAATACCAGCAAGTAATCAGAGAGTTATTGACAGCCTTTGTGAAGGGCAAAGACACGGCTCCATCCCATCAGCATGCCTCACCTTAGTTTGTTGCCTTAGTCTGGACAAATCTGCTCCGTCTAGCAACATCTGGGTTTGCCAGGCTGAGACTGGAGAAGGCAGATCCACCCCTTCCTGCAGATGCACATTCACAGCTGCACGGTGTTGTTGTAAGGGAACTGATTCCAGTTAAAACCATTCCTGAGGTTAACTGCTGGGCTCTGATCACAGCTACGCAGGCACAGTGGAGCAGGCAACACAGGGCAGAGAGAAGTGTCTAGAAAAAGAGGTGTTTTAAAGCCAGAAGGAATTAACTTGTAATCATTCCTTACTGTCAGTGAGTCTGAGATGATGGGACCAAGTTAGATGTTTCCCTGCTTGTGCGCTCATTTTTCACTCTGTACACTGTCATCTCAGTGTCCCAAGTGTGTTTGTACACCATTTGCTGCCTAGCCTGGGGAAGCACAGGCCCATCCCACCACCATCTGTTGCCTGAGACGCCATCAGACAGCCATTTTACGGCACAGGATCAGAGGGTTAATTACACCCAGGCCGTGAGAGGTTTCACTTTGGCAGCAGCTCTCAGTGCCTTAGGACTGATGGTGGTAATGAGCAACATTTGCCATCTGGGTTCAGGAAAGATCAAATAAAGGGGG